GCGATTCTGAATAGAATGTTCTACGAAGGGGGATCACATTGATCCCCCTTCGTGGTCAATACATATCAATACAATACACTGATCAATACATTTAATGGCAAGACCATGAAATGTATATCATGACATTCATGACAAACATGTCAAGATTTTTATGTTATGACTAGTCAAATATTTTCTTCAACAGTGATGTTATGCCATACTAAGTTTGATATCGATACCATTATCGAAATGGTCAGGAGAGCTAAAAGTCGTAGGCGGCTACATAGATAAATAGATATGCTCAAAGTCGCTGAAGTTCGCTAAGAAATATTTTGCATTTAAATGTGACTGACCGATTTTAGACGTATTTTCATGCTGTTGCCCCACAGTGATTATGCCGGGCCTTTGAATGTTTCGATCACATGGTCTCCCCCCTCATCCCCCGCTGATGTTGAGCTCACCTACTTTCATGGAGTGCGCCGCATTCCTGTGGCAAATTGAGTGACCCTACTCTCAGTGCTCTGTCTCCCACTGCCTTGCCTCTCTACTCCTGTTTTCTCAATGGAATATCGCCATTAGACGATGTGATGGTGGCACCTACCCGTGACTTGGCATCCTACAAATTATGGCCTCCGAAATTGCGTGCGGACACCCCATGCTTGTTATATCAGAGGCCATCCTTTCCTTTTCCAAGATCACTGCCAGATGGCGCTCATGTCTCGCACAGCGCCCCCAGAATATCGTTTACCGATTTTCTCGCGTGAAACATCAAATAAACCTTTCATTCACTCTTTCCAGACAGAAGACTATCGTCTTTCGGCGACCTTTGCAGTGAAACATGCGGATACGGGGCCAATTTTTATTTAAGAATGAATCAAAAGATAAAAGCGTAGTTACCGTGTTGCTTTTCATGAAACTGGTAAAGTTTGTTATTTATGTTGCTTCACGGATAATAAAACTAAGGCTTGATTGTTTGAGTCCAAGCTCTTCAGACACTCGACAAGCAGCAAACCCATTGACATTGATTGCGTTTCGGTCGACATTGTGCCGTGGTAGTTTTCTTTGATCGACATTGCGCAGCAGCGTTTTAAATCAGCTTTGATATACCAATGCAAGTTTGTGTGCCAGACCAATTCCTCGTAGAGAAAAAAAAAGTTATGCATGCGACATCCCCAGCGTGACTCTATGCTTGTTCTTGAAGCCGTTTTAACCCGATAACGTTAAAAAGCTTGTCTCACCGAAGTTCTATCTTCAATGATTCTGAGCTCAAGATCATTATCCTGTGCATCACCAAAACCGAGAAAGATACAAATAAAATAAATAAAAAAATTCGAGTCCGAGTTAGGATCAAAGCCAGGTCGTTTGAGTGGCAGGCAGCTAGCGTTGAGTAGAACCTTTAACAGTGGCACACACGCTGGGGGATTGGGCGAAAACCGGGTAGTTTTTTTAAAAAGAAATTCTTCATTATAAGATCAAATGTCGTCTACTTAAAGATGAAAGAAGTAATAATGTAACAAAACTGTAATAGTAACTAGTATAACACAGATAGTAACGCTGTTTTTTGTAATTTGAGCAACAAAGAATTAGGAAATAAAATAACGCACTTTAGAAAATAGGACTATCAGTTTGCTCTACAATCTAAATCACTTTGAACTTTGAATAAACTCCTCCAAAACATCGGCAACAGTCCTGTCACTGTGGTCAAGGGACAAAGCCTAAAACGAAAGCACATTTGTCACATTTTGATATAGTCCAAGGAGTTGGCAGAAAACACCTATAGTGCTTTTTTTTCCTGTAAAGTCAAGTATCTGTTGCATGAAGTGAGATAATGTTCGGTTGTGTTGTGTACTCTGCAAAAACAGCACTTAAGGGAAGCTTCCAGACTAGCTCTGTGTAAATAAAAATCTAGATATGGAGTCTGACAACGTAGTCTAGTGATTTCAACTTCAAGTTGTCTTGTTTGACAGACTATTGAAACGTTGTCTGAGGTGCTGAAATTGTAGTGCGACTATTAATAATGAAGCTGAAAATTCTTCTCACATCATTTTTCTCTTTATTCTAGAATTGGTTGCCGGCAACACATGAGTAACCGGGCCATTCAAAGATGCCTTTGATAGGGAATCCAACCGCCATTTTATTCAGAAATAGGCCCTTATATCCTGGAAGCCAACCTAACTTAATCAAATTTATATGTAGATGAATTAAGGATTTGAATGCACTGAGAATGTGTGAGTCCAAATTTGCTGAGAGGGAGGAACACGTTGATAAAGAATCGGTGAAAATTACCGCAGAACTTGTTGATGCTTTAATTTGTGGAGTGCTAGAGTTATCGCTAAAAGTTCTGTCTGTTACAAAGATGGGCACAAAATCTGGAAGGCGATAAGAAAAAGACCAATCTTTCTTCACCTTGGGAAGTATCAGTTGCAATAACTGTCTTTATTGGCATATGTGCCAAGCAACAACTTAAAATCGAGTTTAAAAATTGATACGCATAAGTTTAGCATTTCTTGGAAATATGTCATTGTATTATTGTATATAGTTAATGTTATTACTCACTGAAGTCACATCACCAATTTGAACATTTAGTGGGTCAAGAAGACTTTGTATAGTTAAAATTGGAGACATACAAAATCTCAGTCAGTATGATCCAAAAAGTAAGTCCAAACCGGACATAAAAATAGTTCCTGAATGTCTTGCAGCGGATTCATACAGACTTAGATTGGCTGCACCGCTAACAATGTAAACCTTATAGCAAGTGAGGGTACCTGAGCTTCCGAATAGAAAACTCTGATTGCTACGAATTTAGGAAGACCTAAACATAGCCTCAACACAGGGGTGTAGCCAAAAATGTTTTTTTTTTGGGGGGGGGGGGGGGGAGCACCACCTTGATTTCGGGAGGGGCACCCCCTTAAAATGGCCTTTTTCCTCTTTACGCCATGGCGAAAAAAAAAATTCAGGGTGCCTGGTGTGCAACTTCCTGGCTACTCCCCTGCCTCAACCGGCTTGGTTTTTTTTTATCATTATGAGAGGATGAAGCGTACAAGCAGGCACCCTGGTATATAACATAGTACACGCAAACTCTACAATCGAACAAATATACATGCAATATATATTGATAGGAGCGTTTGTCCGCCCATACCCATCCAACTAGTTCGTTTCCTTAATAATCCAACCACGTGAATACCCTTTTCTGCGGTATACTGAATGTGATTTTTGCAAGACACAGATTGGTCAGTTATCCGTGTTCTCAGATTTGGGTGCACGTTAAAGAACCCCAGGTGGTCAAAATTTCCGGAGTCCTCCACTACGGCGTCTCTCATAATCATATGGTGGTTTTGGGACGTTAAACCCCACAAATCAATCAGATTGGTCAGTTATTACACCAAAATATTTCACATCATCTACTTCTGGAATATACTTGCCAGATGATAATAGACTGTTCTGTGAACAGGGTCATTTAAAGGGAATGACAGTAAATGGCATTTACTAACCTTGAAATACAAATGTATAATAATCAAGCCAACTTTTTAGGGCTGACAAGTAATATGGTATGTAGCTTGTGAATATCATCTGCTGAAAAAAAAAAAAAAAGCAATGCCATCAGCATACACATGTGTTCATATGTAATAGAGCTAATTAAGGATGTTAAATAACTCCGGGTAAACCACTGCTCCTTGCGGAACGCCTTTTGTTTGCGCATACATAGAAGATGAGATGCCGCTTCGGAAACAGTAGAAGCAGGTGTTCTAGGCGTCTGCTTTTTTTTTTTTCCTTTAAAGCATAATATTGTTGTTAATATGTGCAGTGAAAATAACTACTTCTTGGAAATGCAGTGAAAGTAACGTTCATGCTTTACAAACACACGTGTCCTGTATACATGCTTCGCAATAAAGCGTGCATTGCCATCGGGCGTCAGAACATGCAAGTAATTGTTATAATGACCTCATGCACAGTTTAAAGCCGGCCACCTACAACACACGTTGCTGCACCTATTCCTTCAATAAGTCCACATAGTTGGTGCATAGCTTATAATTCGAAAAGAATTCACGCAAACATGGTTTAAAGCATGCTACACATAACACAAAGCGCAGCTTATGCGCTGGCAAAGGCCTCCGATCGTTTACCGATCACACTGTAGTAATCTGCGATTTAAACTTCTCGAGTAACATTATACAATAATAAGTATGCGCGAAGTGATTGACAGGGGCAGGATATCGCGTTCAGCTCTTAAAGACAAATTACACCGTTTTTTTTTTGTTTTTTTTAATCAACGCTAATATCGCGCGCTTCGCACTGTGTTCGTGTTGCACGAGCTTGGTACGAACTAGTGTGCCTCGGAAGCTCAGGCTAGAGTTACTGTATATGCTACCTTTTAAAGCTAGCCTATAAAGTAACTCTATAGCTCAGGCTATCCTAACGTAGCACCATGAGAGGCAAGTTTGTGTGATTTCAATAAATCATTTGTTAGTCTAAGATTATCCTGTCTTCTTTTACTCTCGAATCTCGTTACCAGCGCAGTTTAAGTTCTCAGAATAACATTTCACAACTACTTACATATGTCAAGCTGGGGGAAAAAAAAAAAAAAAAAAACGATGAGAGCCGTACGGGGAAGCCAACGGTCAACAGAGAGCACTGACTGCGTGTAAAAATTTCAAACCACGCGCCAGAAGACTATTATTACCATAACTTACTGCGGTTTGCTGCTAATAGATACAAGTTTAAACAAGCTAAATCATCTCGTAAATAAATATACCAGTAATTTTAAATAAGGTAGAAAGGTAAAAGCTGCTTTTTTAAACATTGTCGCAAAAAACTACTTCAGGCATGGCACAAAGAGTCATCGCCTAGTTTTTTTTAAATTCCCATTTTGCTGTGATAAACAAGTTTTTATCCCTTTTTTTCTCATCGCTATGTGTTTTTGTGTAGGTAAAAAAGCTCATTTTGAAATTGTGTACGAAACTATATTTTAGAAATTTTAGAGAGTAGCGCCGTAGCGCTTCCGCTCATCTGTCTAGCGATTGTCCATGAAGCGATCCACAGGTGATTTTTGTAAACACTGGACAGTCGCGGACTAGGCGGTGTGAACTTTGCATTACTGCATTAGCCTCTCGCTTCGACTGCACGATGCACCGCTAGTGTTGTCAGTTACATCGTTGTCCGGCACCTGACCGATGCGTTCAAACCTTCACCATGTGGATGAAACCGGAGGAGGTTCTTCTGGCGAACGCTCTATGGTAAGAGTGGCCGTTTGCTCTCAGCTGTTGGCTAGTGAGATGAGAAATAACTGGTCGATTAGCACTCGCCTCACCTGCTGCTAGCTTCGTTTCCGGGCGAATTGTCTCGTGTTTGTTTGTTTCACTCATTTCGCCGCACCGTCCCTGCTGTTAACGCGCGGTGAACATGGCGCAATTGAAGAAGAGGTTTGTTTCAGTTTGGTTCGCGCCTGTTGTTCTGCGAAGGCCGCTCTCGCCGAACGCCCACCGCTATTTATAAAACAACGCTAACGTGGTTGGCTCCGTGACATTCCTTGCGACATCCTTCAAATCGTGAACGGGAGGATTCGAAGTAAAACGAAACGCCGCTTGCAAAGCACAGAAAAAAACACAACGTGGTGTTCGGAGTTGCCTTTCCCACCATGCACGCAATCCTATCGGTACTAACTCGCGTCCTGTGACTGCTGCTTTCTTCGATAGCGCGTGCTGCTGACTAGATAGATTGTATTGCTGCGCCCGTTATGGGGAGTCCCACAATCGTTCCCGTGACTCGTAGACCACTTGTCAGGCGATAGCCTACATTGATCCGAAAATGGAAAGCGATTGAAATCAATCGCCTTCGCGATGCTGTTCGATTGTTTCACAGTCTATGGCGGTCATGGAGCAACCGTTTTACGCAACATGCGCGTACTCGAGTTCAGAGACCTTCGCACAAGCGAGTCGCGTGTTTCGATTTTTATTTTTTTTTTTCGAAATAGCTTGCAAACGGCCTTTTGTGTTCGCATCGACAGCTACCCGCTTTTCGCTACGTGGCGCCCCTCCGCGCAGCAGTCATCGAGAAATACGCGGATGCGCATTCTTTGAAGGGTCATTGGCGTTTTACCATCGGTAACATGTTTCTCAGTGGCATTGTGATAGGGTGATATTTGCGGGTCTTGATTGCTCTAGCGCGCGACGCCGTTCGTTTGTTGACACGCTAGGGACCATTCGTTCGCGTTCAGTGTCCCTGCACAGCTTTGGTGCAGCTTCTTGAGATACTTGACATTCTGGTCAACACATCACGTTAATCGTCACCAGCTTTCGCCAGCGAGCAACGTGGACGCATAGCGTATGCGAGAACTGGCATTAAAGGTACGTTACAGGTATACCAGAAAGTACGCAAAAATGTTCTAGAAACGTTGTCGCCGTTCGTTGGTTTCTCAGTCTCGGACAAACACAAGATCACAGTAGCCATATTACCTTCCTACCCATTGACGTCTAGCTTAAAAGACGGGCTAGTCGTTCACCGTCCAACACAAACAAGTGCTTACAATTGCTTTGTCCATTAAATTTTTTACTGTAATGTCGTGTTTTATTGTTCCACGTTAGACATGGAATTTTTGTCTATGAACATTTGCTGGACTTCTTCGCACAAGTTGGCAAAAAAAAAAATAACTGCGGTAACTAGATTACTGCAGAGAGAATTTATACATTTCCGTTTCCACTGTATATGTTTACAGTTCAGTTTCAACCAGGGATTCAGGTAATCCCTTGATTCTTGCTTGCTAGATTTCGTATGAAACAAGATTAGGTGCTGTCGTGATCAGAATCGGGCTACTGTTTTGACAGGATCAACACTTTGTCAACTAAAAAAAAAAAAAAAAGGCAACATGGATAACCTTGGCAGCCAATGGCTTGTGGGCAGTGCTGTTTCTCGATTCTGCCATGCGAAACTTCTGTGCAATTATGACTGACACAGAAAGATCATCACTTTGTGGTTTCGCTGTGAGAGTTGCCAACCGAAGCAGATAAAATGGGTCCTCATTTGTGCTTTCACAAGCTTGTGCAATACCCATTTGACTTTACTCAGGAAAAATTAAACAAGCTGCAATGTCAAATCTTGTCTCAAATGACGAAGGCAAAGAAACGTTAGGCTGTTGAGAAATTTAACAACTGCAAAGCATTTCTAAGTGCCAAATGTGTCTATCTTTAACTTGCATGAATAACACTCTCACTTTTTAATACGCATGCAATTGGAAAGCCAAAACACTATCAAATACATAACAGCGACATAAAAAACAATTGTCACTAACTTTCTTAAGCTGCCCTTAGTGCATTGAAGCAAGACCTAAGCATAATAGCATGCATGCATCATTTTATGGCAACAGAAAGCCCAACACTTGCTGTTGCCAGTTAACATCCCACAGAGCTGGCTTTATGCGAGCAATCCTTCAGCACAATCTATGGTCTTCTTTCAGTGTTAGTATTCTAGTTGATGTTTTGTTGCGAATATAGTTTTCCATGGTAGTTCGCTTGTTGGGCTTCTTTAAACACTACAGGTTTTTATTCCAAATTTGAGCTTGCAGGTTATTTTATGTTGAAGGAATTTTTCTTCAAAAACCACTTCACTTGTAATTGAGTAGTTTCCAGCAAAATGTCAACCATTGACTATAAGCGCACATTTTGAAGAAGGCATGAGATTGGCTGATCATCGCAGATTCAAAGGGGCCCTGCAACACTTTTCGAGCATATCCAGAAAACGCTGCCGATTGGCAGTCAAGGCTCCTGACAACACGCGTGCAAAACAATATAGTGCAGCACGCAACCTGGAATTGACAAGAAATTCTCAAAGTCGGCTAAAAGTCACTTTCTCTTCTCATTAAAGGGCACTACACGTTCAAAATCACTACGTCCCAGGCATAGTGTCAGCGGTTGGTCGGCTTGAACATAGCACACTCGTTCGTTACTGGGGCTCCCGCGGGAGGCCGTGAGTTGTTCCACGCGTGCACCTGTGATGACACTAAAGGGTTGCACATTCAAAGAAAAAAAAAGCGAGAAAGAAATTCGGCAGATCCCATGTACCTTGGAAATCGACGGTATGCGAAGCATGCAAAGAGAAGGTTGTAATTTTTATTGCAATATTTTGTTGTAATCCCATGTACCTTGGAAATCAACGGTATGCGAAGCATGCAAAGACAAGGTTGTAATTTTTTATTGCAATATTTTTTTTGTAATTTTTTTATTGAGCGACATGTTATGAACTCATGCTTATATATGTACAAACATTGCATGCACAGACATATGTTCAACAGTTTCAGATGTTTATATAACCAATTCTTTGTGCTTGCGCAATGATGCCAACGGGAACATGCAACACCAGAAACGATAAGCTGTTATAAAGCGCTGAGGCTCGCGAGCATAGTAGCCCTGGACACTGCTACATGAATCAACTTTAGCGCATGGCACTTAACTACAATTGACATTAACCCGACGTGACGACTGTATCATAGGGGTATATATGTAATGATTATAAAATTGGATAGCCAGCACTGCAACCACAATTGACGTTTCACGAACAGTAGGGTCTATTTTAGAAGTAGTTCCGAGACCTGGCGTGGCTCTGTGGTAAAATACTTGATTGCCACGCAGAATGCTTACGTTCGATTCCTGCTGGGACCCTGAAATTTATACTTTGCATTGATCAGGTCAATGGTATTGATGTCAGCTTTTCTTTAACGCTGATACGTTGTAATTACCCATGTGATTTCTCGTGGTTCCTGGGTAGTGCTACTCACTTGTGGCTCATACCTGCATATCAATGACACATACTCGCTACGGGTATGTGCCACTGCCTGGCAGGGAGTGTTTGATGACGTACTGGACGAGATTGTGACATTATTGATGTTTTGACCAGCACATCATATTCGTCAAACCATCTTGCCCTCCAACACTAATTTGGGTTCCTGTCATGGGGGTGAGCATGATAGCACGCAAGCGCAAGCGGCTAGACAGACGCGCTGACAGCCAGACGGTAAAAGTGATTACAGTACGCAAACAAATGCTTCGTTCTTAAAAAGTGCTAAATGGCACGAGGTTCCTCTCTGCTTAGCTTTTATCGAAAGGAGAGAATGCAATCGCAGCTTGTGACGAGTCTTTGGAACTCCGCTCGTAGTTCATGGATTCTGAAAATTTTGGTGGCTGGGGGGTGAACTTGTGAGATAATAAGCTCTTTTAGTGAATCCATTCCATGGCTACTCATGTTGCAGAGCCCCATTTGCTTTGGCTTTTATGGGCCATACAATATTTTTGACTATACGTTGACAGACCCCACTTCACTGTAATTAGACTGTCATGCCTTATGCCACTTATCATAGCTGAAAAACTTGTCTTGTAGCCTGGATTAGGTGCTCTGTCTCCATAAGTACCATTTTTACGTCATTTACAAGTCTGGCAAAAAGCGCCAAGATTCTGACGCTCTCTTTCACTGCCTCCTGTCACTCTCACGATCCAGTGTGCTTGATCATTTCTCGTCACATGGTCACGACACTGCGTCATTCCTCATATTATCTCACCGAGCAGTTAACGACACGCTTGCTTCCAATTATTACACCAAGTTTGCCACATGACGATCCATACTGCAACCACATTATTGAATGCCTAAGTAGCAGATCACCGTTTCCTAATGGCAGATTGTGCCAACAACAATGGCAATTTAAGCTTGGCAATAATGTGCTCCATCGTTACGTTCACAGGACTGATGAACACTGCTGGGTTCCCGTACTTCCACATTCGTTACATCACCAAGTCTTCAAAGCCTTTCACGGCGACCCTGGTGCAGGCCACTTGGGGTTGCACAAAACACATAGCCGTGTCAGGAGATGTTTATTCTGGCCGGGCATCTCTAAGTGGCCAAGTACATTGCATCTTGTTTAGCAGAAGTAACCAAATTTGTGTCCTGCTGGTCTATTGCAACCCATTCCATGTCGCAAGACGCCTTTGATCGTCATTGGGATAAATCTTGTTGGACCTCTCCCCATAACGCCAGCAGGTCATCGTTGGAGCGTGACAGCCATCGATCACCTGAAATGGTACACAGAGACTGCAACTCTATTCACAAGTTCAACTTCAGACATCACAGATTTCTTAACACCATTCTATTGCATCACGTTGTACCTCGCGTCCTCCTGAGTGATCGCGGCAAGACATCCTTGTTCACCATCATCGAAAACCAACTGAGAACCTGTGGCACAGTGCGTAAGATG